GGACACCCTGTATATGCATACAAATATGGAATTTGCAGGATAAATGCAGAAGCAACGCTTCGCATCAGGCTCGCGCCGATTTACGCTCATTTGCGTTCACGCTCATTTTAGTTCCATAAAGAACGAGAATGAGCACGAGAACAAAGCAAACCGAAACTAACGTTAAATTTCATCCGCGGCATATTAAAAACGAAAGGCAAACATATGCGCGCGTTCATACGCATACGTGAGTCTCGGCGATGCGCCTCTAATGACTCGAAATAGGATTTCGCGAGTATAATTTTTAGAGCGTGCAACATACACACACGCACACAAATACACAAACGACGTTCCCATTTGTTTCCACGACCACCGCGGGACTATCGCGGGCGTCCGGCGGGGAAAAAAACCAAAAACGCAAACCAACACGCGGCAGACAATCCTAACGAGCCGTGGGTGACACTGAAGGCCACGTCCGCCCCGTTGGTCAGCGAATTTAATCCTCGGGATCCGTCTGTGCTCGCCAGCGGTCTGATGTCGGGCCAAGTTTGCAGCTGGGACATCAGGACTGGCAGCACTCCGACTCAGACGTCTCATTGTCGATTCAGTCATAGGTAATCCCGACATGAACATGCTTCTCTTGAACGGAACTTTGGCTTTCATAATTCAGCAGCGGCGCGCGTTGTGTCGCTGCTCTCGGTCGGCCGAGAACGACTTCGACTTCGCGAAGGCGATGAATGAATAAAGCGCCCCTCGCCCCCGTCGCGCGACCACGGCTCTCGATTGAGTTTCATTAGGCTCGCGACCTTTCTCTCCGACTCGTCGACGTCACTCGCCGTTGCGAGTGCTAATCGGCCGCCCTACTTGGCTCTATCGGTGAAAAGCGCGTCGTGATAGCGATGGGGGTACGCGAGGAGAATGCTCGCTTTGTTCTTCGAGCGTGCATGGACAATCGTAGAGAGGCAAGAAAAAGACAATTAACCCGATTCATCCAAGCAATCGGTCGTGCAATTTATCAAGCTCGCGCAACGCTACACACAGGATATCTTAAAAATACCGGAAGCCCCGGATAACTTTGCGGAATCAAGTTTACATGAAAAACTTTAAATAGAGCAAAAAGTTGTAGAAAATCGAGTAACGGACTTGATGGTGACCTCGAATTTGACTTTGGCCATGACCTTCAAGGTTATTTGAAGGTCAACTTGCGTTTTTTAAACGGGAACCTTATGTTTTATTACACTGTTTTTTCCCACCAATTAATTCGAACAACTTTTGTCTAAGACATTTTTTCATTTGCCTAATATTTTTCGAGATATTTGAGGAAAACTTATTAACTTTTTCAATATTTAACTTACGATATTTCACTATTTGTCGGAAGAAGAAGTGGTACTAGACTTTCCCGCTCTATTTAATCTCAAGAATTATATTGTTATAATAGCGCCCTGACTTTTGTTAACTTACCGACTTTTGGAAATTTCAAAATCATCAAATTAACAAAAATCAGGGCACTATTGTAACAATATATTCTTGAGATTAAATAAAGCAAGAAAGTCTAGTACCACCTTTTCTTCCGACAAATAGTTAGCGAGATATCGTAAGTTAAATATTGAAACAATGATCAAGTTTTCCTCAAATATCTCAAAAAAATATTAGGCAAATAAAAAAATATTTTAGACAAAAGTTGTTCAAATTAATTTGTGGGAAAAAACAGTGTAATAAAAAATAAGGTTCCCATTTAAAAAAACGCAAGTTGACCTCCAAATGACCTTGAAGGTCATGGCCAAAGTCAAATTCAAGGTCACCATCAAGTCCGTTACTCGATTTCCTACAACTTTTGTATTTCTAAAGTTTTTCATGAAAACTTGATCCTGCAAAGTTATCCGGGGGTTCCGGTATTTCTAAGACACCCTGTATATCACGACCGTGTGTCTCATATTCTCCAAGAGACGCCGTGACGACGGTGAAGTGGATCACTTCGAAGAGCAACACGGAGTTCTTCTCCGGCTCGGTGAACGGCCGTGCCATGTGGTGGGACACCAGGAAGCTGCGAGAGCCCGTCGAGATCCTCACGTTCGATCTTCAGACGCCAAACGAGCCGCAGATGGACCGCGCGATCGGCGTCTCGTCGGCCAACTTTGAGGCCAGCTTGAGCGCGAAGTTCATGTTCGGCCTGGACAACGGCCTCGTCATCAGCGGCTCGAGGAAGGCGCACACGCCTGCCGAGAAGTTGGCCTGGAGTTTCGACGCGCACTACGGGCCGGTGTTTTCCGTCGACCGCAACGGCTCCAACCCGAAGATCTTCCTGACCGTCGGCGACTGCATCGCCCGCGTCTGGGCGGAGGACACCAGGGACGGCAATCTTGTGTCGACGAGGTACTTTGTTCCGACGTTGTTTCGCGTTTCGTAAACAGATTGAGGTCGGGAGTGCGCGAGAGAGAGAGAGAGGGGGGGAGAGGACCAAATTATGCGAACGCGATAGCCGCGGAATCCGAAATCGCTTCGTAAACACGCGCGAAGCAGTATTACCATCGAACGAATCAATAGCGCGCGACTGTTTAGAGTTGAGACACGTTGCCTCGGAAATGACTGCATTCAGTTAAAATCGAGTGCGTTAATGACGTTTCGTTATTTACCTTCGTGACTCGTTCGAGCGGCTGCGAGCCGTGATACAAATGGACGCTGATAATCGGTAAATTTAGAAGATGGATTATCAATTAATTTCAATGCTCGGCATCGAAATAGCCATAAACATACATCAATTAATTTTCCATATCCTCGCGAAGGCAATATTGATTCTCGCGCGGTATACAGTGTTAACAGTGTGGATAAGTGCATAAAGCCAACAAATATATGTATATTATAATTGTGTTAATCAGTGTGCAATAATATGAAAGGTAAGCGCTAATTAATGGGCCCGCTGCGTATGGTCGATAGGAGTAAACCGGAGGTTGAGAGATGAAACATCACAAGCCGGGCTCTGTCGATTCGCAGATTTATAAGAGAGGAGCCCGTCCGCGGTTGCTGGAACAAAGCGAGGCACTCGATTTTCTACGTGACGACGCGCAGCGGCGTATTGACCGTGTGGGACCTCCTGGTGGGCCTTGGCAATCCGATCCTCTCGGTGCAGATATGCGAGGAGAAATTAAGCGCGATCGCGGCACACGAGAGAGGCGACCTGCTGGCCATCGGCAATTCCGCAGGCAACGTTTACCTCGTCGAGTTGACGGAAGCGCTGTACTCGTTCGATAAGAACGAGAAGAATAACTTCTCGTCGGTGAGAAGGAGAGAGGGAGAGAGAGAGAGAGTGGGAGGGAGAGAGAGCGGGCCGTTTGTTCCCTCTCGCAGTGAATTTACAGCGCGAAATTAATACGCGAGAATTTACAAGCAGCGCCGAGCGACGGAAAGAGACTCGATATCGTGTCCGCATAGCCCGCGACGATAATATTCTTTGCTTCGTGAAAATATGGTGGAGCAACAGTTTGTCTCGTGATTCCTTTCGAGTCTGTCGCGTCGCGATCAAGCTCGAGCAGCGTGCAATTATTAATGTCCTAGTTGGATTCTACCAAGCCAGATTTTCTCGAAAAAGGAGCGTGGAATACAAGCGTGGATTCTGTCGTGTTTTTCCGGTCCTGACGTCCAGTACCTGGAGTGCTGTTCTCGTTTCGCGAAAGCGATAGACACGCGGCTGAAGGAAATCAAATTAACGAGAACGTACGCCACGGAGGATGAATCAAGGAGCACGTTGGAAGTTACGCGAGGCAAAAGGAAGGACAAAACGCTGCCGAAGATTCTGGGTCGCAAAGGACAAAAGATGCAGGAGTCGCAGGACAAGCTGAAGAATTATCGTAAGAGGGAGAGGAGCACGAAGAAAAACAAAAGAAGGCTCAAAGACGAGTTTGACGATTTTCGGATAGTTGAGGAAAAATTCTTCGAGGTTGTGGAAAAGGTAACACCGAGCGATCTCCGAAAGAATTCTGGCAATGTTCCTCTCGCTTCGAAAATTCCCTCCCTGTGTGGGAAGAGATCGCATTCACTTTAAATAATCGGAAATCAAGAGCTGAGACGAGTTAGATTTATGTAGGAATAGCTTCTTTTTCGCGGTGAATATATCGCGGCAGAATTCGTACCTCGTTCGGACACGTTTGATTTTATATTTTATTATCCTCCTCACTGCACATTTCGTGATTTTCGCTGTTTCGTGAAATTTCTAATATATCACTCACGGTCGGCTGGTCGCCACACATTAGCGAACTTTCGTAATGTTTCATCATTCTTTCATCCGTTTGCGGCCTTTTTATCCTTCGCCGTGATTTATCGCGCGTACGGCCTCGCGCGCGCGCGATATCGCTAAATTATTTCTGGCAAAATTCTCTGTCGAAAGCGGGCGATTCGACAATTTTGTTAGCCGTTTGTGAATTTTCCCTTTTCCTTTGTTTCATTTTTTTCCTTTTTAATTGCCACCTTCTATCGCAATATCGCGCTTCATACGGTTAACAGGAGAAACTGAAGTACGAGGGTGACGAGCGCGTTTTGACACCTTCCAAGATTTCCGTGACAAAAGTTGCCAGTCGGAAGATTGACAAGAATTTCGTCACGACGGCGGACGAGGCGAAAGACGACACGGCGAAGATGCCCGCCAAGAAAATCGCCGTCCCGAAGAAGACCAAGATCGCGATTCCCACGGCAGAAGCAGAGAAGAGCGTTGAGCAAGAGAAGCCGGAGGAGACTCTGCCTGCGTCGGCGGAAGCGATCGCGGAATCTCCGACGGAGGAAATTAGCAAGAGGAGCAAGAGGAAACGCAGGAAGCGACTAATGCCCGTCGCTTTCAGCTTGCCGAGGCCGTGCAAAGTTGGTATCTGCAAACCTGACATTTGCTGCCGCGGGAAATTAAGCACCAGGTATGGCGCGCGCGTACATTCAATGTTGCACAATGGACAAATCTCCGTAGAAGAGTGCCGGCCGTAGAAACATTTTAAGTGACAAAGAAATCTCCCAAGGGAAATTATGTCTACACCGTCGATGTAGACTCTCGCGTAAAGTGCCGCGATTGCTGTAATTCCTTTCCGAATCTCCATTGATATATCTCATATTGATGCTCCGGGCGCTCGAGGGACTCGATATCGTTAAGATCGCCAAAGCCTCGCAGTGGCTCTCGAGATTTCCCGACGCCGGAATTCGGATGACGCTCGCCTCAACTTAAAGCCCGCGAGCCGGCTATCGACTGTATGTGTATGTGTGTGTGTGTGTGTGTGTGCGCGCGCGACTTTCGGATCCACGAGAAAAGCATATTGAATTGCCAGGGCCGTGGTTAGGTTCGCAGATCGCGCGAAATGGATTCGCGGCGAAGTCAGAGACGGGGAAGAGAGGTCGAAGGGCGACGTCGCAGCGAGGACGGCGGTCGAGGCGAGACGGAAGAAGCGGGATTCCTGGACGAAGCTCATGCGAGCTTATGAACGCAAAGCATCATCCAAGGAAACAATTGCTTCTCTCTGGGAGATGACGGAGCTGCCCGAGGAACTACGAGAGGCCGTGAGGGAGGCTAAAAGGGAGATCCGGCAAGCTGAACGGAGCGGTAAAACAAGAACGAGAGCGGAGAAGCTCGCCAAGAGAGCTCCGACGAGGAGGTCAGTCCTCGCGTATAGCGTTTGCGTATTTTCCTCGGGATCGGTAAATCTTATTTTCGCGAGTTTCTATTCTCCCTCGTTTGGCTTCGGTGAAAGCCCCTTACCTCTTCGTTTACGTCCGCTTAGATATTATTTCTCTTTTTCGTCCGCAATTAATCGACAATAGAGAGTATGGAGTTCGCCGTATCGCTGTAATGATATCGGGGTTGAGAGTGCTTTTCATTGAAGTTTTGCGGACGGAAGGCTCTCCTCCGGGCCCTTCGCCGGCTTTTTCCGCAGAATTTTCCACGGTGCCGCGCGATTTCCCCCGTCATCACTCCGAGAATCCGCAGACTCGAGATCCTCCCCCTCCCTGGCCCTCTTCCCGGATCTTCCGTCCGATTTTCAGACGTCGATAATAATTCAGCTGCGATATTCCGTATAGCGTCACGGCTGCGGAAAAATCTCGAGAGGCCCCGAGAAGCTCGCAAGAGGACGAGGAGGGGGATCCTGCCAAGGAGGTCACTGCGAGGAGCACGATGGCGAGAATCCTCGCGGCGCGGAAAGGGAAGAGGGCCGTCATGATGGATCCCTGCACTCCTTGGAAACCGCCCTCGCTCCTGAAGGATTTGCAGAGTCTCCTCGGAGGTCCTTTGCCGGAATCGATCGAGGAAAAGACGAATCTGGGGATGGCTCGTATAAAGGAGCTCGAGGCTGCTCGCGGTGGAGTTTATCCGCGGATTTCCGACTTCCACTCCATCGATTGACGTCGCGTTATTCAAACGTTTCTGTGTTCTTCTCACGTCAATGCCATCGCGCCATTCTTGAAAAGTTACGTTTCGTTCCTCCACCCTCAATTTTTCCTGCGCCGGTTCTCGCGCGGTGGTAACGACGAAGAGAGAGAATATGTATTTTTATTTACAATTTCTGTCTGATTTGAATAATTACGCAACTACGTGTAGACTAGTTAGGAACTGTAAGAGCGGCCGTATGGACGACTTGCGTCGAATAGGTTATGTTTAACGTTACTGCGACGATGAAGCTGTACTGTAAGGCTCAAAAGAAACGCGCGAATAAACGAGGCACTTTCCGTCACGCTAGTTTCGGCAATAAATATTTGCGTGCGCATATCGTATCTGCCGTCGCGTATCCGTTTGCGGAAGTCTCTCGGTGCTCTCTATCTTCTCGAGTAAATCACATCGTCGATAGCAATTCCCCGATTTTCCGCGATTCACGTGAAAAACCGGGTCGTGCAAACTGATCTAATCCCATTCGCCCGAGGCTATACACGGCGATTCGTATTATCGCGAGTGGGGAAGCGAAGGGAACGACGGGATATCCTCCCAGGTCTTCGGGCGATCCTGGATGATAAATTCGTGCAGGAAGGGCCAACATTCAAGGCCCGATTCCGGTCCCCGACCGGACAACGGAGCAAGACGACATTTCCTGTAAGGACACGACGTCCAGCTCGACTTCCGGCTTTCCACCGCCAGGACCTTGTCCTCTCTCTCGCGCGCGCGCACACACACATACACAGATTCACGTATTCACGACGATGTTGAGCTGAGCGAGGACCGTGCCTTCGTTCCACGACGGCGAAAAGTTGAGCGCTATCGTTTCGCGCGGATCGTTCCTTCTTCGCGCCGACACTGCTTCCTCGCGAAACTTTCGGCGTGCTTTGGCGCAAGTTGGAATGGAAGTTTTCTTTCGCGCGCAATTCCGATCCCGTCAGAGAGAAGTGGAACGGCCGATTCGGGAGGGGAATACGACAGGCGAGCGCAACACGTTCGCTATTTAATCTCGGCCGGTAGAAACACCGAGCGCGACGTGGGAGTCACGCTCGGTCTCGATTGCGTGGCGCAATGCGGCGAGCAAAAACTTCGACAGAAGTCGGCGCCGAGTGAATGGCGAAATCGCGGGATTTTACCCGGACGCGTAGTATAAGCGGAAATCAATCGATATCGGGCCTAAAGTTTCACCCAAACGGTTATACGAAGTCGAATGAAAACCTTAACCCTTTAACGCCCGACTTCTTTACAAGTGTTTTAAGAATAAAATTTGAGTTTTTTGAACTGAGACTATAAGTAGTAATAACTAAAAAAAACATCAGAATTTTATATCCATGAAAAACTACCTTTCCAAGTAGAAACTACTCCCAGAAGCGAAAAATACGCCTGATCGGTTAAATTTTTTTTTTAGTTTTAATAATTTTATATCATATCTAATGGTTCGAAAAATCCCTCAAAACATAAAACTCATATTCAAAACTTGATCTTTATTTACCCGGAATGGAATTGCATAAAGCATCGAGAGATGCTTTAAAGCTTGAGAGAGGGGAATTTTACAGGTTTTGCAAATTATTTTTGTCCTGCCTTGCTTCCCTTTCGAGCTGCACAATTGACAACGGCTTTTACTGTTTTCTTTAACAGGCATGTGCTTGTTGTAACACTTCCTGATGTAAATGAAAAACGAAAACTAACAATCGACTTTTGAACGGAAAATGTAAAGTAATAGTCTACTTCTGAACGAATAAATTTGTATTTTGTTTTGTAAATATAATGGTAAAAATGATAAACATGGACACACTCAGAGATGGTTATTCAAATAGAAAAACCGTGAAACAATTACACGGAAAATCAGCATAAATCATTTACTTCTGAATAAATGAGTACATGAAGTTTCCGCTTTTCGTTTGTTGGTTTCGTTAGTTTGGTTTTTTTTATCGTTCGTTTTTTGTTTATTGGTAAACATGACTTGGATCCTAAAAGCATATACGAAATGAGCAACCTATACGAGAGAAAAATGAAGGGTAATCGATACGACATAACTCTGATAGTCAGCTTGACATTTTTGAGCTGAAACTTTACTATATTTGTGAGTAAAGTTTATCATTCAGAGCGTCAAGCTTACTATTTCAGAAGAATATCTTATAGATCACCATTTAGATAGTCAATCGTCCTTTCATTTTTCGCCGCATAAAAAACTGTAGGTTACCAGGTTTCACGAAAATAGGTTGATTTCTTGATTTTCGTATCCATCATATTAGATTCGTCATTTTGAATTTCTGTATTCGTTTAATTTCACATTTTGCATCTGAGGAAGCTTCTAAATGTATAAAATTATAACAGATACCAATCTATTCATTTATAGTGCACTTCTAGATGTCAGTAACAATGCTGACTATGCCTATTTGGAATTTGACAAAACATGTTATCATTAAAACTGAGCTAAAAACAGACTAAACCGAATCTACATACAATCTATATAGTATTTTTTACAAGAAGAATTCACCTTTACAGTGGTACAAAGAAAACGAAAATATCTCTTTTTTTGACCAAGTTACAGATTCATAAATGCATTTCTGGTAATTATAGTTACCAGTAAGCGTTAAAGGGTTAAAAACGTTTTCAAAAGTAATTTATTGAGCGAATGGGAAACACATCCGCATCATTTTTCTATGTATTCTCCCCCATGCTCGATACAAGTTCTCCAACGCTTACAAAGTACCTGAATTCCTCTGAAAAAGAATTCTTTTGGTTGGCTGCGCAACCAGTCATGCACCGTTCGGTGTACCTCTTCATTCGATTGGAATTTCTTTCCCCCCAGTGCCTCCTTGAGCGATTTACTCGTACACCTGCTGCTGTGCAAGCATCACCATACTGCGCTTTTATTCTACGATGAATTTCACTAGGTTTTACACCTTCACTTGTCAAAAATCTAATAACAGAACGCTTCTTCTTTGGTGCATGTCTCCAGTGGGGCGGCCATCTTTACACTACTACTATGACTACGCTTGTTCTTCTGCATTTTTCTCTGCCACTTACTGGACATTCCTTAAACTACTAGCAACAATATTGCCAACTTACAAGACAATGGCGTCACATTTCGAAATTTTATTACATATTTACGGTTTTCATTTGACTGACCCTCGTACTTTGTTTCTCCACGGTGAGCTTCAAACGCGACGCGCCGGTCGTCGCGTCCGCGACTTACGTCGAAGAAAAAGAGACGCGCGTTCATTCCGCAAATTATAATAGGAGTGTGGTTTAGTTTTGAGAGGTTTTTTTCTCAAAAACTGATTTACTTAAACGAGATAATGAACGAATACTTTAATCAAAATATTTTCTTCGTTTTCTACACCTTTTTCCTATCGTTCTGGCAAAAGATGAATTCCACGACGGTAAAAAGATTCTTCTTTGAAGTTGATCCAATTTTCAATAAATTTTCGTACTTGTTCGAAGTTATGAAAGAGTGTATCCTCTAGAGCAGGGTTCCTCAACTTTTTTTGTATTGCGCACCCCCAAAAATTTATTAATGAACCTCTTCGCACGAACCCCTTATAGAAAAAAATTATTCGTCTGTTTTATGGTAAAAATTAGTTGTTAGGGTTATAAGATAAGAAGTTAATTTATAATAATTTATTATTACATGGTATTGTTTTATAGAAATTAACTATCATTTTGATGTTATAAAATTATTATCCATGGTATCAAGCTTCGCATAGTGATACGTAACGAATATGTACGTATAGATACGCAAAAATATATACTTTTAATAACATTTTTTTTAATTTGATGATAAAAATGCCGGATTGTTCCAGGATTCATCTGAATCATTATTGATTACAATCACTTTTCCTCGCACCCCCAAGAATGTTCTTTCGCACCCCCGGTTGGGAACCCTTGCTCTAGAGCATGTTGCATCGGGCGGAACAAGTGATAATCGGATGGAGCAATATCTGGAGAACACGCAGAGTGCGGTAAGACCTCCCATTCAAGCTCTAATAGCGTTTGCTTCATTGATAATGCAACATGAGGTCGAGCATTGTCGTGAAGAAGAATCACTTTGCGTCGTTTACTCGCAACTAGTGATCGTTTTTGGTCCAATGCTCGTTTAATTTGTATAATTGTTGTCGATAACGGTCAGTGGTGACAGTTTCACTCGGATTTCGGATTTAAATTCATAATACACAACACCTTCTCGATCCCACCAAATACACAACAATACCTTTGAACCGTGAACATTGCACCTCAAAGTAGATATTGCTGGTTGGCCTGGATCAACCCATAATTTTTTGGTTTGGGATTATCGAAATAGATCCGTTTTTCATCCCCAGTGACAATTCGATACAAAAAGCTCTTCATTTTTTGTCTGGCGATCAACGAAATGCAAATGTTCAACCGGTTCGCAATGGCATTTTTCAATAATTGATGTGGAACTCATTTTCCTTCTTTGTGAATCTTTCCCATACCATGTAAACGTTTAGTAACTATTGTACGATCTACATTTAATGCTCTGGCAAGTTCTGAAGTGGACTGCGCTGAATTTTCGTCCATAATGCTTGCAAATCTGTATTTTCAAGCTGTTTTGCTTGTCCCGAGAGATCCTCGTCGTTAACATTGAAATCACCGCTTTTGAATCGTCTAAACCAATATTTACATGTTTTAATTGATGGAGCAACATCACTATAAGTTTCTATCAAAATTCTATGACCTTCAGCCGCCGTTTTCTCCTGATTAAAAAACAAAAACAACGCATGTCGAAAATGGTCTTTAGGAAGCTCTATTTTTAAGATGGTATTAACACGACTTTTACCGTGTCTAAGTAAATGACTAAAGATGGATTAATATTATTAAAGCATTGAGAAACAATAGCTGTGATTGAAATGCCTTTGACAAAACTGACATCAGTGCCATCTCTTGCAAAACCCTCAAATCTAACGAAACTAAATCACACTCCTAATGCAATCGCCGGTGCATCGCGAATTCCTGCCAAGCTGCTTGCCCACTAAAATCGGCGGACGCAGCGCTAAATTAGCCGGCAATTAGCACTCGATCTTGATGCCGTTTCCATTTCGATTTTTTGCGGGCAGGGGAGAGGAGGACGGGTGCCAACTTAGCAGAGGTATGAATGGGGCTGTTGGTTCGCTGCTTACAAATTGCCGTTGAAGAAACGGCTGACGCCGGCGAAAAAGTTGGGAAAGGAGTTTTATCAGCTCGCTCGGACAGGAGTAATACCGAGCGAGTGGGCAGATTCCCTGGCGTTCGCAGAAAAATAATTGTTTCTGCTTGGCAAGTTTTCACGTATTTTTCCGTCGCTGATGGCGGATCGTGCGGCGCTGCAGCTTCGAGTGTGTCACTCGCGGAGCGCGCCGCCGCGTTGCAATTAAACGCGTGGCAATTATCGCCGCGACATTATTTCACGGGGCGACCCCGCGGGATTTGATATCGTAACTGCACAACCGCTTCGATCGCTCCGCCGTTCCAGCTGAAGGCAGAGTAGTGCGATTTCGTCGAATTTCGCGAGATACAATCGAAAATTAATTAACATGAAATTTCAGATTCTGCCACGAGACGGAAACGGCTCGCGGTAGCTCGCAATTTACAGGGCAGACGCGATTTCCCATCGCGAGTAACGGTCGAATTTTGCGCTCCGGTTTGCCGAGAGCGACACGAGAGAAAAATCGTGCCACGTGAACGTTACAGCTCGCTCGCGCGCGCCAATAAAATAGAAATGACTTCTCGTCCCGCGGCGGGAAACATTCGCCGCTTTGTGCTGTCATAATTTATACAGAGTCGAATTTACGGGTCAGAATCTTCAGAAGCGCTTTAAGCGGCGTGAATCAAGGCGCGGCCTGTTAGAAATTTCAGGACGCCGGGCGGCCGCTGCATATTGCGACGAATTATTCACGTTGCAATTTCCAAGGGAAATCCCTGCGGCGCGCGTGCAACACTCGACGTGTCGCCAATCGGACGTCCTCCGCTCGTCGTCGGCGAGCGGCCAGGAATTCCTGAAGAGAGGAGGAGAAGGAGGACTCGCGCGCGCGCGCGCGCGTATTTCGTGATCCGCGGAGAGTCACAGGTATGAGAGAGTAAGAGAGGGGAAATGCGTGGACCTCGCGAGGCCGCGAAATTTCTGGCGGGCTGCCAGGTCGCGCAGGACGAATTCACGGGCCGCTTGGCGGCGGGAGCCGGCTGGCGACATCGTGACACGTGATTATATCGCCGACACGCGCGCTCAATTA